TATATATATATATATATATATATATATATATATATATATATATATATATATATATATATATATATATATATATATATATATATATATATATATATATATATATATATATATACATATATTGAAGTATCGCTTTCTTAATTTGCTGGATCGTCAATCTTAATATTCCATGTGTCACAATGGCAACCAATAGCTAGAGAGCAAAAGTCCAAGAAGATACTTGTTTTATTCATATATATACTTGGCAAATCCATCTCCAGTCATCCTAGAATGATCCAGCAAGGCCACACCACACATACATTGATATCGATCATCTAAACCAAAGCCATAGTCCACCACCACCACAAGATGATAATCCCAACTCTCTCTGGCAACCATTCCTTCCTCTCCTCCCACCGCCACAATTCTCGTCTCTTAAGGCCTCGGCCTCCTACCATCCTCTGTGGCAAGAGGAGAAAAAGAAAGGACCCAGCATGGGATGCGTGACCTCGAAGCGTGTTGAAGCGTCAGTGGCGGCCAATGTCTACCGTCCGCCGCCAACCAGCATCGCTCTATTCGACATCAGCACAATCGAGGAGCCGTGGCTTATCACCACCACCACCACCAAGGCCTTCGACGACGACGAGAGAGAGCAGAAGGAGAAAGAGAAGAAGCTCACTGCCGTGCCGCTCCCTCTGCTAGAAAAGCTCGAATCCTATGAGGTGGCTCCCAAATCCTGGTCCGAGGTGAGCAAAGTTCTTGAAGACCTCAAACCCACGCTCAACTCCGAGCCTCCTCCTGCTGCAGCCAAGCCCCACCATGCTCCTCCTCCGCCAGATCCCAAGAAGCCGCCATCAGCACCATCAAAGAACAACTCCTTCCACACACTCGAAGAGCTCGAGAGCCACACGAAGAAGCCTTCGCCGCGGCCGTCCTCTCCTCCACGAGCGAGCTCGCCCGCCCGCCCGCAGCCGCCCGAGATGGCTGGCTTCCGCTCCGTGAAAGAGAACAGCTTCATCGTCCGCGACAGAGAGGAGAGGCAGAGGCAGAAGGCCGGCGGGGACGTGGCTGCCAAATTGCCGTGGTGGCGCCGCGACCCGCTCGATGGGTACCCCGAGCGCTGCCCCCCGGGAAACGCCGACGGCGTCGTGCTCTACACCACGACGCTGAGAGGTGTCCGTCGGACGTTCGAGGACTGTGAGCAGGCGCGACGGGTACTCGAGGGCCAGGCGCTGGACTTCGGCGTGGCGGTCGACGAACGAGACGTGTCGCTCCACGGGGAGTTCTTGAGGGAGGTCAGGGAGCTGGTGGGCGAGGAGCTGGCGGTGCCGCGGCTCTTCATAAGGGGCAGGTACGTGGGCGGGGTGGACGAGGTGGTGGAGCTCAGCGAGACGGGGAAACTGAGGGAGATGCTGCGGTGGGTGGCACGGAGGGTAGGAGACGGGTCGGGGAAGGGAGGGAAGAAAGACTGCGAGTGCTGCGGCGGGGCAAGGTTCATTCCATGTATGGAGTGCAACGGGAGCTGCAAGGTGGTGGGGGAGGACGGGAAGAGCGTGGAGAGGTGTGAAGAGTGCAACGAGAACGGGCTGATGCTTTGCCCTCTCTGCCATTAGAAGACGTCAAAGGTCGGATGGAGAATTGCAGCACGCAGTTTGCTTAATGTTACGCAAATACCTGTGTTCGATAAACAAGAGGGCACTCGAGGCAATATCAGCCGTTGTATGATATACCACATGAATCACTAGCTTGTTACTAATCTTTGAAAGCTATGTTAATCACCTCTTGGAAAATGTTTTCTATTTCGTTTGGTTATTGCTCCTTTTTGCTCATTAGAACATATATATATATAGGCCACTAGGAGGTGGGTCACCTCTCCAAAATACTATGTAATCTTCCAAAGTTGGCGTGGTTATGGGCCAGGAGATTGTGGTTCTTGTTGATGTGGCCCCACTGGGACATTTGTAGGGTGAAAGTTGCCATGGGATGTTGGCCATACATTTTAAAGTCGGTATATACTTTGAGGTGGGAGATCTGGTTTTGCTGGGCTGCTGCTTTGAGGCCATCGGTGATACAGTCCTGCGCGCCACCGTTGAGGCCGGAATGCTTGCAGCCGGCCAAATTGGTGTCGCCTTGCAGATCCTTGATGAGGAAGTCAGAACACCTACAAGAGATCTCTTTGCAGAGATCTTTTATCGGACTCGCCCTCGGTATAGTATAGTTTTGAAAGATCTTTCGCTTAAGAGGTGTTTCTGTAAGTATAAAAATCGTAATTATGTTATTTCTATATAGAATATTTTAATTCTAGAAGCTAAAATCAAACATCAAATATATGATACATACCTTTTAATATTACTCAGAGGGCTATATCTGATCTACAAGCGTACATCAGCGATGTCAATATGCATAAAAGACTAAATTTGCCTTCTCTTTTATCTTATCATCCACAAGTTTGTTACGAGCGATGAATTAGAGACAAAGAAGAAATGAAAGAAAATATGTAATATCTAAAATAACTGATTAGGTTTTTTGGGTTGTTTCATCCTTACGAGATCGTATCATTTTATAGGCGAGAGAAAATAGTCTAAAAAAAATAATTAGTAGAGTCATTCTCATTAAAATCATCTCATAAGAAATTTTATTATAATCAGAATATAATCATCTCTATAACATATTTTACATAATTAAATAAAATCATATAATCTAATAATTTTAGCTAGGAAGAGGATGAGACACAAAGAAGGACTCAACTTGATCGTTATACGAGGATGCTCAATTTGATCGTTACAAAATGATACTAGCAAAACTAGGTTTTTGGAACATGGTTGATGAATTCTTCATCGATCAATCCACAAATTGCTATGAATACAATTTTTTTTTCTTCTTCTTACTAAAATGGATCTAAATTAGCACAGTGAAAAAACAAAAGTTCCACAGTTCCCACCTGTCACTCAACTAGTCTCAATGCTTCCTATCCTCTTTTCTGTTTGACACATGTTATTGTCGTAAGTGTGGTGGCCTCTAAGATTGAGTTAGAACAATCATGTCTTGAAGATGAAATATGATTGCATGTTTTAGATCCATTAAGGCGAATATATGCCATAAGCCACTCGCTGTCGCCTTTGCGTCCTCTGCGTGCTGTTTGAATTCTCCTTGGGAAAGCGTCCCTTATCAACACACTGTGGAGGAGACAAGGAAAAGACGAGAAGTGGCTTAGGATGGGGAGAGTCTCTTCCTCCCAGACGAGACCACCAAATAAGAACAGTTTGGTTTCCACATGGTAGCGTGTCCCGATGAACCCATTTATAGCCTTACATCCATTATCCGCAGAAAGCACTTATGGCCACTCATGATGCCCTCAAGTACACAAAGGAAAGCAGCACATTCATTCACCCTCTGATTCCATGGATGCCATGCGTCACGATAGAGGAAGAACTTGGAGCTTAAAAGATGGCAGTTTGTCTTTGGCACAGGAACCTATCTCACTCGTGAAGCTTAGAGCTAAGTTGGATTGTGAGGTTGGTAAAAGTCAACTTGATTGAGTGTAGGAGAAGCCTTTATATCATTGCAGCAAAAATGGTGTCATAATGGGGTGCTTAAAGCTTCTCGATCCTATGTTTACATGCTTTCTGCTACAGCTCTCCATCCAGTCCACCAAATTATGATGTGTTCTTCGGATCTTACAGAAGCTATCATGGCCTCTCATACTATATTGCTTCTACCAGACCTGAGGCTGACCTATTTTTTGGTTTTACCTTTGTTTTTTGTTTTTGGACTTGTGATGATTGAGAAATCTTGGAGATAATAGTTCCTCAATAGGATTCATTCCTGTTATGTTTGACTTTTAATTACTAAAATTGTTGATACAACAACAGGAGTAGAAATTACTAGAGTCAACCCCACTGACTACTTGACCCAACAAAAGCTCAAGTCATCACCAAAAAGGCCACAGCAACACTCACAGGGGTTGATGTCCAAACTCCACAAAAAGCTCAGGACAGGTTCATCTGTGCTTTGGTCTTCAAAGAAAAAGCTAATGGCACCACTGAGAGTGACACAGTAAACCCAGCGAGGGTTGGTGTCTCGACTCCACTGAGGCCAAGAGAGGAAAGATGCCATTTGCAATCACAAGCTGGAAGACACTACCACCACCATGGCTCTGCTAAGATAACAAGAGCTCATGGTCAGTGGCCACACAACCTTTGACGAGAAGGAAGGTATCAACGGGGCAGTGGCCTCGTGATTGGGGCAGAGTTGTTCTCTGCAGGAGTATCTGCATCAATTCATGTGCACATGTGTTTTGTGGTGGACATGGTGGAATGGATTGACAGAATGATTGATCTGAACACATGGATGTATGTACATGTATGAAGATGGTGAAATATGTGTGTGTGTATATATATAATTGGGAAAAGGAAGGTGGAAATGGAACTGTATTCCCAGCCATGGGGATTGGTGAGATCTTTAGGTGAGGCATCTGTTTGGATTTTGGAGGAGAAAAAGGGAACAGCACTTTTGAGTTATCTATAGATTTGTTATATGCTGGCATCTGTCTTGCAATCTTGGCTGGTTTTGACTTGGGATTATTCCATTACTTAGAGTCTTATATATATTTGTTGCATGTTCATCTGTGTTAGTATCAATTTTGATCATTAATTTAGGATAAGAGAGTAAAATTCATTTGGTTTACAATTGTCAACTTAAACTAAAAAAAAGGTTAAATCGATTTGAGTTAAATTCATTTGATGATGATGAGTGATGAACTAATTTCTTTTTAGAGTTGAACAAAACTAATATCAAAGATATTTAATAAAATCACTCTATAAGTTAATGAGTCTAATATGATTAAGAAAAATATTTCGATCAGAATTTTTATATACGATGTGGACGGTTTGAGTGTCATGCTTGAATTGTTGTCCTGAAATATTATCATAACACTAAAAGTTGGTTCTTTAATGGATAATCTTCTGCATTGCAATAATTGATCTCTTTTATTGTCATTAATAATGACTACTCATTCTTTGTTCATGTGCATGTCTGCTTTGTGGCAATGACATTTAGATTGCACAACAAATATGATTATGATTGATGCGTTGAAATTGGTACTACACAATAGACTTAGGGTTGGCAACAAGTGTTTTTAGCGAGAAGAGGGTGGTCCATGATGCCACGTTTCTTATTTTAATAGAAGAACACATATTGATGTGTTCTTGAATGTGATAATTACAAAGACTAATGGGATTTGTAGAGAAAATAAATGAATCCCACCATCGCCAAACAATTGAGTGACTCAATACATAAGCTTTCACACATCGTCTTACTTTCTATATTACGTCTAAGTTTCGTACTCAAAATCTTACCGTCTTTCGGATTGAAATAATGCTTTGTTGCTCAGCTTTAAGAATAATCACGTGTTATTAAGCAACATTTACGACCAATCAGAATTGAGGTTTATGGATTATGCACCATAAGAAATAATAATAATATATATATATATTGGTCCAAAAGCGAAACCATCACTCCCATTTATTCGTTGGAGGAATCCACTTTTTCTCATCGTTGCAATCTACAAGACGATATTATAATGTTATTCAAAGACCATTTATTCGTTGCGAATCCAACTACACAAAGCATGTAATATTTCTTTTGGTATGTGACAAGAGAGATGACTCGTTCTGCCAATTGTTCGACTCATAATGAAGTGCACGCGTTGGTTCCTATTGCTCCTACTACCCCACGCATTCTTTGTGCCAACACACACGTGTGCTTTTATATATATATATATATATATATATGGGGAGTCTAATTAGCTTGTTAATGACCGACCATAGTAAATTCTTTTTTCTCTTATAACTTAGTTTTCTATAAGATAAGCACATGTACCTTTTTCTCGAATGGTCCATTCCACTTTGTTCACTGAAATGAATCCCAAAACACCCCTTTAGCATGAGGAAAGACTTTTGTGTTCTAAAGAACAAGCTTTCATCCATATAACTCGAATGGTTGGGAGATTAGGTTCCATGGATGCATCACTAAGTCAAAGCTATCTTAGTCATTAAGCTAATCCAGATTATGAAACGCTCCGATGGCAAAACGGTACTGAGGTCGACGGCCATTGTGGGACCTACCTGTCTTATGGGTGGAGGAAGCAATGGCCCCGTGCTGCCCCGTTTGGCGGCCCTGCGTGTTCTCCAATTACGAGCCAGGTAGGGGATTGGGTAGAACGTGAGGGTTATGGCTCGAAGCAAATATTAGCCGCGAGCGCGCACGGCCACCGCCCGCAGAGTGGAGCCCATTCCGGTAAGCGGGTCTCGCTCGTGAAGAGTCCACGTGGCTGGTGGTCCTACCCGCCCGTTTCCCGTTCGCTTTCGCCAGGGGATCTCTGAGGGGCCCAACGATGACGTCACCGGCGGGGACTGTGACGGGAACCCTCCTTGCGTCCCTAACGGCGGCGAGACATGACGCCGTCGGTTACTGTCAAGGCAGGAGTGGCGGGCGGGCGGCGGGCCGCCCGCCTTCATCGGGCGCGGCGCCTCCATCGGGCGAGGCGCGAAAGAGGGAGCGGAAGCGGGCGACGGCGTTCCTCAGTTCTCGGCCCTTCCCCATGCCCCCCCTCCCTCGCCTTTAGAAACAATAGCTTTTGCAGGTTGCACCCGGCTCACCTACCTGTCTGGTGATTAAAGGCCGCAGGAGGGACCCGCACGCAGCTGCCCGAGGACAGGCAGGGGTAGCGGTAAGGCAGCGACGGGTAGGAAAAGCGTTTCTGGGTGCACCATTAATGATTAGCTCCTTCTCTTCCGTCCTGTGTCTACAGCGGTAGGCCGTAGCGGACGTAGTAGTGCGTCGGAGACGAGAGAGGAGGAAGCTGCACCTTCTTCAAAGATAGCTCCTTTGAAGCTTCATTGGCCAGTAGAAAGCCGACTGCAAAAGGGAGCCAAGTGTGTGGGACCAGTCTAGACTGTGGAGAGAGAGGGTTTTATGATTGATAATGGAGGCGTTATGGTGGCGAATGTTGTGGTGATATTGCTGCCGCTTTAATGGGGTGATAAGATAACTGCTGTTACTGCTGCCCTTGCAATCGGACCTGGAAAAGGAGAAGAGCAAATTGGGATAGGGATCGACTGTTATCGCTGCGCTGCTCCGCTGCAGGTGGTGGCGGTGACGAGAGGAGGCGACGCGTTCTCCATGGCGTATGAGGCAGCGGCTCGTGTCGGCGCGAGGGCGGAAGGAGTTCAGAGCGGGAAAGGTGGCTCCTTTTCGGCCTTGTTTTGATCTTCTCCACTGTGATCTGATCGTGGAATGTTTTGGTTAAGGTCTTGGAGGAGGGGATGTTCTCTACGAGGAGCTGTGGAGGGCGTGCGCGGGACCGCTGGTGGAAGTGCCGCGGGCCGACGACCGTGTGTTCTACTTCCCCCAGGGTCATATCGAACAGGTGAAAGCTTTCGCACTTGCACACGCACGCCACAAAAGAGAGCAGCGAAAAGAGAAACAGAAACGCTGCTCTTTCGCTTCGTTTCCTCCCGAAAAGATTGCTGCTTTGTTGACGGTGCTGTGTTCGTGTGTCATCGTAGTTGGAGGCGTCGACGAATCAGGAGTTGAATCAGCAGATTCCTCTCTTCAATCTCCCTTACAAGATTCTCTGCCGCGTCGTCGATGTTCGTTTGAAGGTGAGCTCCTTTTCTTTTGCTCTTGCTCGTTTCCATTGCTTCAATCTTGAATTATGTTGGCTTTTCTTTTCTCTTCTTCGTTTATAGACTTCCTGCTGATGGTGTTGTTGATTTTGATGCGTGTTAGGCCGATCCTGAAACAGATGAAGTGTTTGCTCAAATTGTACTCCTCCCCGAAGCAGATGTAATGACTCGAGTTCTTCCCTTTTCTTCGCTTTGGAGCCTCGATTTGGGTTCTTGGTAAAGCTCAATCTTTGGTTGAACTGTAACAGCAACGTGAGCCTACGAGCTCTGAACCACGTCTCCCGGAACAGCCGAGGCCGACGGTCTACTCTTTCTGCAAGATCTTGACAGCCTCAGACACCAGCACTCATGGCGGATTCTCTGTTCTCCGGAGACATGCCACGGAATGCCTTCCTCCGCTTGTAAGTTCCACTTCTTCAGGTGCTTTCCGACATCATGTAGATGATCTTAAGATATGAGTCTATCATCAGGACATGTCGCAGCAGACCCCAACCCAAGAACTCGTTGCCAAGGATCTCCACAACTTCGAATGGAGATTCAAGCACATCTACAGAGGCAAATATCGGATTTCTCGTTATATTCTGAAGGAAATGAATTAGATTTTGTCTCTTTTATATGTCGATTTGCTTCTTGTGATACAGGTCAACCGCGGAGGCACTTGCTCACCACTGGGTGGAGTACCTTCGTCACCTCAAAGAGATTAGCTGCTGGGGATGCATTTGTTTTTCTAAGGTATTGCATCTGGTGCTGTCCATGACACTCTGCTTTCTGATAGAAATCTGTGTTTGTTAAGCATCGGTCGTAACAGAGGGGAGAACGGAGAACTGCGTGTGGGGGTACGATGCCTCGCTCGTCAGCGGTCGGCGATTCCAGCATCAGTGATATCAAGCCAAAGCATGCATCTTGGTGTTCTTGCAGCTGCGTCACATGCTGTGACTACAAACACCCTCTTCACCGTCTACTACAAGCCAAGGTTGGAAAGCGCATTGCTTTCCTTCTCCTATCGCTTCTCTCCGGTGATCTTTCTCACGGTGGTTGTCTTTGGATTGCCCACATGTTATCAGGACAAGTCAATTCATTATCAGTGTCAACAAGTACTTGAAAGCTTTGCAAGAAGGTTACACGCTGGGGGCAAGATTTAAGATGAGATTTGAGGGTGAAGATGTTCCTGAGAAAAGGTGATTCTTCCATAGGATATGTCCTTACTGTTCTGTTGCCTGGATAGATCGTCTAATTGTTGTTGTCATTCTAATTCTGCAGGTTTTCTGGGACCGTAATTGGGATTGAAGACTGTTCTTCTCAGTGGACAGGTTCTAAGTGGAGATCATTGAAGGTCCATATGTTTTGATCCTTCTGTTTCAATTTCCCTTTCGTGCTTGTCTTTTTTTCTCTTCTACAATGTTTGTCGTGTGCCTCAGGTTCAATGGGATGAAGCATGCAATATCGATCGACCTGAGAGAGTTTCTCCATGGGAGATCGAGCCTTTCAATGCCTTGACGCCTGCTTCAAGTTTAGCACAGCCGGTTGTTGTGAAGTCGAAAAGATCTAGGCAACCCAGTGACACTGCTGATCTCTCGATCCTTGGTATAGAGAGATCAGCTCTTACTACTCGAGGGTCGACGAATTCATGTTATTGACTTGTTTTCTTTCTTGCTCGCAGAACCTACCGCGGCATTCTGGTACTCAGGGACGAACGAGCCACATGAAATGTTATCATTCACTGGCACCGATGCTGAAAACCTTGAGACTCATGATGCTTGGCCATGCATTCAGAAGGAACGCAAGGGAAATGATATCGTGATTGCCTCGAGTTCTCATGATCAAGTATTTTGCGATGGTTGGTTTAGGGAAGTCCAAACTCCACGGAGGAGCTCACCTTCCTTGCTAAATTCTCTGAATCTTTTCCAAGAAACAAATGAAGAGACCAAGTGTGCTGCTTACACCAATTGTATTGATAAGGATCCATCTCTGAAGTTTGGCAATGGTGAAGATGAATCGAGGAAGCCTGAAGGTCGCAGCATCACTTACAGGTTATTTGGAATTGATCTGTTCAGTCACTCCAATTGCACAGCTGATACAGACATGGTGACCGGATTGCCTTTCAGCAACTCCGATCAGAAATTGGGGTTTTCAAAATCTTCAAAGGAGCAAAAACAATCCCCACAGGACAATTCAAAGGAGATGTATGGTAGACATAGTTGTTCGGGCAGAAGCCGCACGAAGGTGAGTGAGTAGCTGCTGCTTAGTTGAAGTCTGTAAACCATAGTTTGGAATCAACATACTTGCAATGAATTCTCATGATGGTATGTATGATCAAAAGGTTCACATGCATGGCCTCGCGGTAGGCCGAGCTGTGGATCTGACGGTTCTCGAAGGATATGATGAGCTGCTAGCGGAGTTGGAGCAGATGTTCAAGATCGAAGGGGAACTCCAACACCGGAACAAATGGGAAGTTGTCTTCACGGATGATGAGGGTGATATGATGCTAGCTGGGGATGATCCGTGGCTGTACTTTCCTTCGAGACCTTCTCATCTCATTTCTCAATGTGCTTTATCTTGTTGCTTTTGTATCAGTGGCTAATAATTCAAATGTGAATTGAGCAGGGAATTCTGCAATATGGCCAGAAAGATATTCATCTACCCTACTGAAGAGGTGAAGAAAATGAAGCCAAGAGGCAGGCTTACTCCGGTGGCTGACGGCGAAGAACATGTTCTTTGTTCCGAAAAGGATTCTACAACTGAAGTATGATAGCAACATCAGTTGATGCAATCGACTTCAAGTAACATCACTAGAATTCAGCTCATGTTTTTAAGAGCTTTGGAGAGACATGAATTACCAGAGGAATGCTCATAGCAACAAAACTAGATTATCAGAAGAACCAGGTGTTGCAGAAGGGGAAAACAGGGGATATGCTTGTGTTTTCTGGTTCTGCAGGTCTCTGCTGTCTTTGCCATCTTCCATAATGCCATTGTGATCAACTTGTAAATACATGGCTTGAATATTTTGCCTTTGCCATTTTTGTGTGAACTGTCAGTTGTTTCAGTTTAGTGAAGTCAATTGTTCACCTTTTTATGTTCCAAATTGATTTGTGCCACAAGCTCATTAAATCTGAGGATGGCATGGGTTTCCTTGCACTGGGTTAACTGCAAGAATCATGTAACTCTGTTCCAAGCAATTTGCAGGTCAAGAAAGAGATGAAAGAACAGAACTTGTGTTCTTAGCTTCAAGTTAAGATGTCATCCTAAAATAGCAGCATTACTGTGAGGATGACCCTTGTTCAGCACAACTGGAGAAAAGTGAGCTCGTCGATGGATGCAGAACAGGAGCAACATGGACAGCAGAACAATATCCACCTGCTCAGTCTACAGTGCATCTTCCCCAAGCTTAAAAACTTGCTACAATTGTAATGGTAGAAGAGCAGCAATAGGCCTCCTTCACCAAAGCTTGTGTTCATGAGAAGCAAGACAATACCTAAACCAAACTAGTAAAAGCATTAAACCAGGTTTGAATATTTCTTTCATTAAAAGAAGCACTTTTATACCTTCAAGCACAAGACAAAGACAAACATGTTGTCATGCTTCCCTTTCCAACTCTTCTTTTTTGTTGTTTTGCTGGCAGCTTTCGATCTGTGAGAAAAATCATTTGCATTAGAAATTAACATATAAACAGAAGAAAGATCGAAGTAATATCCTTGTAAGGACGGCCGAAAGGAATATTTATTCACTGGCAGAAGAGAATTGTTCACGACAACAGCTTCACATGTCTCATACATGAAATATCAAATCATCCAAAAGATTGAAGAAAGGTAAAAAGAATAAAAACATGAAAGGAAAATGGAAAGTTGAGAGGCTCAAACAGCAAGAGACCACCATATTCCTCCTATATTGAACTTCTTTACAAACACATTTTTTTTATGTTACAAGGAAGCAAGCCGGTGGGAGGTTCGCCTTTCTCTCAACTCTTGAAACCCAAGCCTGACCACCTCCTCGTGACCTCCTTCCTGATCCTCTGTGAATTAGTGACCAACAGGTTCTCGAGGGACTTGGGTTTCCTGTTCCTGGATCTGCCAGCTTCTTTTAAAAGCTCAGCTAACCTTTTCTTCTCATCATCTACATCAGGGTTTGCTGTGCCAAGCTTTTCCTCCCTTAGCTTGAGCACATGCTCCAAAATCTCAATTGCTTCTCCCACCCTGTCATTTAGAAAATTCAAACATAGAGAAATTACAGAGTTGGTTCTTTTTCGGTGGACGCAACATATTTCTACAGTAGATAATATGTACATCAAGTACCACACATCTATCGTTACAAGACTAAATATATCTATTCTATACTTGGATTAGCAAAACAAGTAATCAATAATCCTGGAAAGGGCAGAATTTCCTCATAGGATGCTGCGAGCACCTAGAGCAGCAAAACTTCCAGAAAGCATCCTCTCTTGCTGTTTAAACAAAATTGCATGGCTAGGCACAAGGATGCCATCAATGAAGTGGTAGCAGAATAATGGTACAATTGAAAAAATGAGAGAGGATTGTAAACCATTTTCTGTCATTTTACAAAACTGATGCTAGGATCCAGATAAAAATCACACATTGGCCACCATAGTGGGCTTACAAACAATTCTATTACAAGGAGCGGCAGGACTTGACATGTAGCAAAGTCAAAATGCATCCAGATACCCCACTGCCATACTGATATCTCAGCTAATGTTTGCATAGGGCGGCCCAATTTCCCTCGACACGGAGAGGGTCATTATTATTATCTACACATTTCCATACAAACTACAGGTTCATTCTAGAGAAGCTCCCCACTTGCAACCATTAAAATAAAAACTACTAGTAACTTTCAGTCCAGTTTAGAAGCTAAAAATTTCAGGAAAATCATGTATTGTATGGTCAAGCTCAACGTGTGCCTTACATACTATAGAATAGTTTCTGCACTGGGAATAAGTTTGATGCACTTGGCAAATAGACAATTGACATTTCATTTTCTCTTAGTGATATATAAAAGACTAAAGATAGCAAGGTTATAAGCATTAAGGGTAAGTTCAAAAGGAGCGGAATCAGAATCACCAAACTGTTGTTTGTCACTTATTCGCTTATACCTGTCCTTTTCAGAAAACACAATGGGCTATAATTAGTCAAGATGCAACCATCTACTGGCGCATTCCATCTTTAGATTACCTACAACAACAAGAAGCCTTCCCACCATGACAATTGTTCACAACAAGAAACTTGTCAAACAAAGAGTCATCAGTTCCTTTCTCGTCTTCCTTTATTTCTTTTCACATCACCAATTCTAACAAACTCACCTTGTTTAACTAGGCTAGCCAACTTATCTCCGCTTATTTTTCAAAACAAGAAGCTGGCAGCTAATGTTTTCATAAACAAGTAAGACAATTTCGTTGACAGTTGGTAACTAAATCTTGTGTACAGTATATCATTAGAACACTGGATCCTTATCTGCCAAAATCTGGGGCTGAATATAGAATTCTTGTATTTTCTTTTGCTTTACAGAATATCCGTTTGGTATTATCTTGTCAAATTATGCAGTTTGTTCCATTCTCATGAATGACAATGCAACCATCAACCACGTTACACTAATTCACAAAATCCCAAGTTGCTCAATGGAGAAACTTCTTAAGTGTAGTACACAATCGAACAAATGTATGAAATCCAAATTTAGCTGATTATTGTTAGCAAATCAATTTAGCCAAAATATTCAAAGACTTGGAAAGCATTCTGCTAACAATAGCTTTCCAAAGAGAAGAAAAAGATAACTAATATGATCGACCTCTCAAAAATGACAAAATTTAGTAATAGTTATTATCGATTGCATGATTTGCATAATAACAAACATATGATTTATTATTGACATCATGAACTTGTTGTCCGTTGTAGGTAATGAGGTAACAACCTTCAAGAAGCAATATCCTTGATAGGTTCTCTTAAATACCTCCAAAAGGGCAATTAGGTCTGTTCTTTTGAGCATATAAATGATTAATCACCAAGCCCTGAGCTATCAGCTAGTCTCCAAACCAATTATAAGTTGGAGAGATCACTCACTCCTCATATTAGTAGTAAAGTTACACCTTAACAACTTAATAGTACAACAGCAATGGAGAACAATTCAGGTCAATGTAGGCCATGTCACCTTATGACATGGTGCTTCGTAAACATATGACTGCTTTTGAAGACAGTTTAATTGGGCACTAGAATTCCTCGATTGAAATAACATTTAACATTGGTAACAAACAGTCAACATAAGACATTTGTTTAATTGACTAACTCCAAAATTCATGTAGCTGCTACAAGTTCAAATTGCCAACATAATAGCCCCGATAGTAGCTCATAACAGGTCAATCAGATGATGTAAACTACAAATTCGCCTCTACAGCAGAAAAACTAAGCATTCGTAAAGATTTTAAAGATTAGGAAACAAAACTAGAAAAAGCGTATACAAGGCTAGTGTTATGTTCATACATGATGATCTTTTGACCTTGATAACATGGCGAGGATTGACTACTGGAAATATAGGACTTTCACAATCAATTGGTTATGATGTTATTATGGACAGTGACACAATCATATAGATTCTGGAATGTAAAGGCCTCGATGGTTCTTAAACTGACCACTTTCTCTTCAGGGGTATCATCCTGATGGAGCAGCCTAAGGTGGTTATTTTGTAATGTTTTTTATATTATTTAGGAAACAAATTACAATTTTCTGTTCCACATGTGTATATTCCTATCTGAATGTGTAGTTTTATATGTATGCTTTCATGAAACTCATCAATGCTTCTCATACTAAGAACAACACCAATAATCAATTCAGAGAACAGTATCTTAATGGCATCAAGATTGAGGTAATCAGTCAAGTGACAAAAAAAACGTCATGTAATTCAGAGAACAGTATCTTAATGTTTTATTTTGGCAACAAAAAAACATTCCGTACTATGTCAACGAAAGAACAAAAGGGCATGTAATTTTCAAAGAATAAACAACTCTAATCCAACATCATGTGTTTGCTTTCTAAAATAACTGTTAGCTGAAACAGCAACATATGGTCTGGAAGCTTATCAGATGTTCCTTATCACTTGAGTCATTATGGGTCAGCCAAGTTCAGACCACCAAGTAATTTTAAATACTCGTAGCCAACACCATGTGACGAAGCCAAGGGCTGAGACTGGCAAAATCTTAAAGAACATGAGTATCAAAAAGAATTAATCTATGGCATTTGTCAATTTTCTATGATTTTCCATTATATTTTTCCTTGTTGCATCATGTTCACAACTAATAATGATGTTGATAGTAAAAAAGAAGAACAGGAAAGCATATGTAGCACAAAACAAAAGGATTAAAGACAAGAAAGAGCATGTGCTTACCTTCCCATGGCATCGTAAGTCGCTGCAAGATTGCTATACACTCCAAGGGTGTCCGGGTGAGACGTCCCACATTCTTGCTCCAGTACTGCCCTCGCTTCTTCGAACAGCGCGGCTGCCTCGTCGATCTTAAACAGCTGCACGCACGCCAGCCCCATCTGGTTCAGCAAAACTCCAAAGAAGGCCGATTTCCTCTCCCCACTGGCCCTCAGCTTGGCCACAGCACTTTCGAATGAGCTTCTCGCCTCACCGTACTTGCCAACCATGTAATACATCACGCCCATCTGAGCCTCGATCCCTGCCACCGTGCTCCATTGCCCCGGCGCATCCTCCATCAGCTTAAGAGCCTTCTGTAGCAGTTTCAGTGCCTCGTCAGGCTCGTTCATCGCCTCATAGATGGCGGCGATCTCCATCATCCCTCCGGCGATATCCTCGTTCGAGGAGCCCGGCACAGGCTTGGCGTAGATCCTCAGGGCGTTCTCGCAGTAGGACTTGGACTCGCGAAGCTTGCCGGTCTTGTAGTAGAGGTCGGCAAGGCGGACGAGGACGGCAGCAACGGAGGGGTGGTTGTCACCCTTGGTGGACTTGAAGACGGTGAGGGCTTTCTGGTACGAGAAGACGGCCTCGTCAAAGCGGGCGAGGGCGAGGTAGGTGTCGCCGATGCCGACGTCGACGGCCGCAACGTCAACGTCCTGGCCGTTGGCGATGAGGGCCATTGAGGCGAGGACGAGGTGCTCGAGGGCGGACTCGTGGTCGCCCTTGGCCTCGCAGATGAGGGCCATGAGGCGGCGGTCGGCGGCCTCCTCCAGGGAAGCCGGGGGGCTGTGCTCACGGTGGATCTCCAGGGTCTTGCGGCACAGCCTCTCCGCTTCTTCGAACTGCATCGCTTGGACGTGGGCTTCCGCCAAGTACCTGCCGCATTTTTCTCTCTGTTAGCGTTACAGATCAACCAATTAATTGAACTGAAGTGATCAGCGACAACGAACGCCGAGAGGGTTCGGGTTTCGGATCCCCTCGAATTATTGTACGGGTCCAATTTATATCACGCCGTTACCACCCGTACTTTATGTGATGCCCACGGCATGCAATCCGACGGAAGGCGTTGCGGCACACTACAAGACGAACGGTCCAGATCGTATGCGGTGGAACACTACGGTGTCGCAGCACAAAGAGCTGCGCTCATTGGACTCAGCTAGCGTGCGCCGTGAAGGATAATAAGCCTTGAGAACAAAAGTAACGTGCGACGCTACGTAACGGCCGCGGTCCGAACGGATCTCTAATATTTGCACTCATAACGGGTAGTGCGCACGATAATTGACTGGGGACGTTCGACATTAACGTGCGCCAAGGAACAACATGGCCGACCGTCAATCACGGGTCTACTAAGTCGGGTAGCCCCCGCGACGAAGATAATGGCGCATGTCATCACCAACGAACCCGGCGTTGCTACCGCGAGCCGGTATCCGCCAGGTTGGCCAACGTGATCGTCATAGCTGCCCGATGGGGCCCCCAGACGAGGGTGCGGCACGTTAGCACATAGGATCCGCACAGGCTAACATGCGCCGGATCGGCCGGTGGTAACGCGCATTCCATGGCGTCGCCCATATCGATTGCGGTGGAACCGATGGCGGCGAGGACATGGGAGGCCCGGAAGTAAAAGAAAAGGAGCGGTGTACCAGCAAGCTCACCTGCAGGTCTCGGCGACCCTGGGATCGCCATCTCCGAGCGCCTCGATCTGGATCTCCAGCCCCTTGGTGTAGCAGACGATGGACTGCTCCATCCGCCCAGCCACGGCGTGGGTGTCCCCCAGCTGCATGTATCCGGAGAAAGCGGCTAGAGCGTGGTCGGGCCCAAGCGCGGGATCCGTCGCAGCCACCGCCCGCTCCAGCGCCGCCACCGCCTCCTCGTGCCGCCCCAGGCCACTATAGATCGCCGCCGCTACGTGCAGGCTCATCGCCAGCTCCAGCCGCCTCTCTTCTCCCCCACACCGCTCCAGCGACTGCGACGCCCGGATCGCGTACTCCAGCGCCTTGCTCGGCCCCTCTCCGGACACGATCGCCCCCCGCGCCAGCTTCAGCAGGAACGGCCCCAGATCCGGGTTGTCCAGCGCCGTCTCGTCCATCACAGCCGGCAGATCCCGCAGCGCGCTCCCCGCTGCGCTAGCGGCGGAACCAGGCCTCTCCAGGGAGAGGCGCCGCTTGCCGGCAGAGGAAGATCCGCGCTCCGCGGACCTGACGCGGGAGGAGCCGGGCGTCGGCGAGGGAGTCTTCTTAGGGCCCGGAGACGCCACCCTGGGTTCCCGTGGCGGGTCGGGATCGTCGGCGGTACGGCGGATCTGGGAGGCTCCGTCGTCGGGAACGTCGACCCGGAGCGGCGGCGCTTCCGGCGGGGCGACGAGGCCCGGCATCGTAGCGGCAGCGGAATGGAATCTAGGGTTTGGTGAAGGAGGTGGAGAAGAAGGGGACCGAAGACTGGGAGAGGATGAGCGAGGGAATTCGGCGGAAGAATTGGGCCGCAGATGGGGCGTCCTTTTAGAGAGATAGAGAGAGAGACGAGTAGGAAAATGACAGGAAAATAAATAAATAAGGTCGAATTATTCATCACAGATGACTGCTCTCCACCACTCCCTATCCTTTTGCTCGCCTGCTTGCTTCAATCGTACTTTCCTTCTCACACTTCGATTACCGCTAATCCACTCGTCAATCTTATTAATTAATTTCCTAGTTCAGAAATGCGACATTAATTGCTGTCCGTACGCTCCCCGCCACACAACCGCGCGACGCATTGGTTAGCACCGCGGGGCCCAGAATGGGCCCCAACATGCAGCGCAATAATGATAAGCACGTGACCCAAGATAATCCATCACCATCCGATCAGGATCCGACGGTGAAGGAAAAAAGATAAAAGCAAAAAAGTTATAAAGCCAACCAGTGGCCGGACTAGAGGCCAGGATCAAATGCATCACGGCCGTTCATCACGGATCGTGTACGGGATTCGGTTGAGAGAGAAGACTACGGAAGGATCGGCGCGTCGAGTGTCGTGGAAGAGAAGTAATCAATGATGACGGAAAGAATAATGTCGACTCTGTGCGGTGTGACTCGAGTCGCGGTCAATTGGAGTGCGATGGCTCTGTCTCTCTCTCTCTCTCTCTCTGGTAGACGTACCGACTGGCGACCTATGTATGCATGATGAGTCACATGGATTAGACAGTTAAATGGAGGTCGAATAAAGCTGTTCTTATACGCACCCGTTGATCGGATACCCGTCTTTCCCACGCGACCTCTCATGGGAGGGAACGATGATTCGCAGATGGGGCTCACACGGATCCCGTGTGGAAACGCAAGTCGATGGGTGAATCATCAATTGTATCGAATACTTTTATTCTACCCGTACCCATCAGTGGGGCCTTTTTGCTGTCTCTGAGAACGAGCGAGACAGGTCACACAGGCTGGGAGAATAACATAATGGCATTGTTTTTTAGTATTTACATATATTCCTAAAAATCTGATATATAAGGTGGCCTTACTAAAAATTATTTAATTATATTATTATTATTAAGTCACTTTTGGGATAAGATTAAGAGTATTTCAATTGTTTCTTTGTATAAACATATGTTTTGGTACTATTTCAATTTATGGACACTGTACACGACAGAGAGAGACAGTGGCTGTTTAAGATTGGGATGATATAAATATGGAATATGGGATGGAAGCCAATCTGCATCACTCGGTCCAGTGGTTGTTTGAAATGAAGGTGTCAAAAGAGACTAATAATGATATGATAGTGGGTGTGTTTCTCTCTGCCTTATCACAAGTTTTTGTTGCAATATGTTGGATATTTTGTGATTGTGGGCCTCAGCAGTATGATTAAGTTGTTAGCCCATTGCCATTGGTGATTGCATCCCTAGTTTGATGTTTAGTTTATTTCTATTCTAGTTTTAATTGGTATTGAGGGAAGTACTGTTAGCTAATCAAGCCTTTCTTTAGTAAAAGGATTTGTATCCAAATGTATACTAATATCAAGGGTTTTTTTGTTGCTTGCATATGTATGCACAGTCTTTCCTTTAGAGATAGAAAAAGTCAACTTCATGTCTTAAGGACAGTATTAGTTCTATTTATTTCTTCTTGACTACCCACCCAATCATATGATACCATTACTAACAAATGAGTGTATTTTTTATAGAATATTAGAGAATTATTATCTGGGTGGAGTGCTTAAGAGGGTGCATTTGTTTGATTGATGGCTTCTGCTGTCTCTCTGGCTTCAAACTTGGCTATGAAACTACTGTTGATTTCTTCGAACAAGAATCTGCTGCATAAAAGGCTCTTGAAAGTACTCGAGTATTAAGTTCTTCCTTGTTCTTTTTCCTTTGTCCTTTACCTTTAGCAGAGAATAAGAATTTTCTTCTCTCTCTCTCCAAGACAAGAGCATGACAGAAGCTTGTATCTTTTGTCTCCTTGTAATCAGACCAGCTTCCACCTCTGTTTCTAAGGCATCTCTTCCTTTTTTTAGTAGGCCATTTGTAGCTTAGTTGACTTTGTTATCAGATTCTACGTAACTTACTGGCCTTAGATGTGCATCTTTAAGCTACATGAAACAATTGGCTCAACTTGATAATGGCCAACCTTTATTCTCACAGGCAAATTATCAGTGAGAAATAAAGAGATCACTTTAGAAGCATTTCTCATCTAATCTGTGGGATCAGAAGATGACTATTAAGAGTGAAGTAATATGAATTAAAAGGGGACAAATGAGGCAAAAGCTTGAACAATCAAAATGTAATGGGCTTGGATGATCATAAGATATGACTAACAACTACATGATGATACCTTACTAATTCAGCCAAACGCATATGAGTTCATTTAATCTGTCGTGCAACTCAGCCACTTTGGTATCATACTTTATTCAACCGCAGCCCCCAAAGCACTATCCAAACAGATATATATTCCATGAAAAGAAAAACAAATAGCAATAAGTAATCTAAATCCTATTGCTCTCAGCTGTAACTCAAAAAAAGAAAAAAGGTGACAAATTAATTTTCGATAAAATTATTATGGACATTTTTACTGCATAATATAGTGCATTTCTTTAATAGCTGAGCCCAGAAGAATTGCCTCTTAACAGTAATAGTCACATGAAACCAAATTTGGAAGTTCATTAACATAATCTCCCTGGAATAAGTAAAGCTATAACTCAGTCTACTTAACTAGTTTCTTCAACACATCCTCAGCACGTTTTTCCAGCTTGGGCAGTGCCCAATCGTGCTGAATGATGTCAATGCTATCCTTCTCCGCACCCAAGCTCTGAAAGATTGCAAAGAACACAAGATTAATTTTATTTTCCATATAATTGGATCAAAAACTTGCAATCACCAACAAAAGTGTTTGATGGAGAAATTAGTGGTGTTCTAATGCGAAGGATCATGATAAGATATCACAGATACACCAGGTTCCGTGCCAGATAAACCTAGAGTGGCAGCATTTGTTTTGTGCAAGGTCGTGGTGGACATCTCCATAAAGTTGGATGCACTAATTCCACAATTGGTGCAACCAATTTGTATGCTGTTGCAGGTAACAATATACAAAACCTTTCTGGTGATGATGTCGAGAGAAAGGCAAATCAGACAAGACAAATGAGGTCAACCCTCTTGAACTGTAACCTTACATGTTTATACCATTCCATCACATGTAGCTAAGAGGAGTGAGAAAAAAATGAAAAAACATTCACAATCCAGCAATAGATGTATTCTGCTTTTATATTGCTTTCAGTTCATTAAACCAGAATGTCATGCGTTGAGGCATGACATTCTAACCGGATTTAGTTGAATCATGCGTTGTGAGACCAGAATGTCATGGGTATGACTAGCAGAAACAGCCGCATATATCTACTTTCTCTAAAATATAATAAAAGATCAGACATGTATTAGCTGTGCATCCAAAGTGGCAAATCATTTGACGCAACATATCACAAGTTCAAAATCACCTCTACTGTAACAGTGCATTTTTTAGGTAAGAATAAGCATATCTCCCTCAAACCTCATAATCTGAATTAAGAAATAGAGAGACAATTAACTTTTTTGTTGCTTCATCTCTTTAAATGTGTGCATTTGGGAGAAAGATAGGGGAAACTTATCAGTAGAATCATTGATAAGGATCTCCCAGGTCATCAGCAGTCTGGTCACTCACAAGGGTCTTGAAGTAGGCAAAAGAGTTGCATACCCCAGATAATACCAGGATATAGTCTCGTTTGATACCAAGATTTAGTACCATCTATCTCCTTCATCTAATTTGTTAGTTTGTTTGGACCTCCTGAACTCATTAGATAATGATTTATATACTGTAAAACGTATGCTGATATTTGAATTTTATGGCACCTTGTCTATATAGTCAGCAAAGATGTTATGTAATAAATGAATACATACAGATCACTATCGATCATCAAAAGATATCTTTAACTGGTACTGAGAAGTGCACGCATAATTATGAAATTGAGAAATTACCTTTGTTGGATCAAAACCAAATCCGCTCATTTGCATCATCCGCTGCGTGTCGTCCATAGCTGGATAGACAAGACAAATTACAGGATCAAACAAATACAAGAATCAACGAAACAAAATGCCTAGTCCTAGTAGCAAGTTAAATATGCATTTAAAAAGTCCAACAGATCCGCCTTTCTATACTGACCATTCTCTTCACCCAGAATTAGGCTGAATAAACCCCTTAGTCCAAACAAATTTAGAAAGTACCTGTCCAAAATGATGGAATTCCAATGCTTGAGTAGACAAAGATAGCAGTGCTAAAGTCATAAAAAGATGTCACAGAAAAAACAATATAGATGCAACAAGTCACACCAGGAACGACTGCTGACATAGCTCACATCGACAGTGCTTAAATCGATTCCATTCTGCAGCATTCCCCTAAATCTATGGGTCAAGGGAAATGGTATTTTTGCTGAAAATAAGAGTGCACAGATTAAAGATGTTATCAATAAAGATAATTATTATCAGAAACACGATATAGTGGAAATAACATCAGAAATAAGTCCTGTATAGGAAAGAACCTTCCGGCATCATTTTAAATGTCTCAGAAAATTCGATAGAAAGTATTATATTAACCAATACAATTGTGCTTGACAAAAACTCAAGGCACTTGACAAGATGCAGTCCTGTATTTTAAAAATAGAGTATGGACGAAAACATGCATATTTTGTGAAGCCTACAAGTTAGAGAATAAAATCAACAGTGAATTCTCACTTTTCCACTTCCAATATGCAAAAGAATGAATTTAGCTTTAACAAAGCTTACTTTGGAAAAGAAACCACTGATGCTAAAAATTTGGTAAAGTCAACACTATAATTCAAACTATTACAACAATTTCTATATCTCACATAATTTCAAGCTGATTGGGTTGTAACCGTCAAATTTATATAATCAAGGGACCCTCATATAGTTAACCTAGCTGAATCATTGCTAATCCACAAAAAATACAGTGCGTGCTGATAAAGCTACATATGAATATATACTATATGACATGAAACTGATATACCATCGAAAGTTGTCAGAAAGTATCATCACGTATTTATGTTCACATTTCAATTTGAATTCAGCTAACCACAAAGACAAATTTGTTAGATTAGCAGACAAGGTTACATCGCCATATCTTGTGCCAGTCCTGATAAGTATTTGATACTTCCTATGTCCTAGACCAATGTCACCAGCATCCTCAAGTTTGTAGTCAGTTCATGCAGCAATATTTCATAAATAATGCAGGAAAAGCTCAATCATCAAGGTTTATAATCGTGCAATCATTGCGTAACCATGCAAACACAAGGTAAAGCTAACCAAAATTAAAGATATAGCTTAATAGTCATGAAGGCTTGATGGATATTTCATGCTTATTAGCATCTATTGCAGCAAAAGTTATAGATGTTCCAATGACTCCAACCATAGATGTGCCTTTAATAGAATGGGCTTCGTGCCACAGTAGGGTTGCTCCTATGCTGACCTAAGTGACTAGGATTCAAATCAGTATTAGCCTCTCTACTTACACGGGTAAGAATGAATACATAGTTGGGACGAATATCATGTACTAGGCTGTTGATCTATAACCATTCTCCCTTGCATTAACCTGAGTAAACTCTTTCCCTTCATATACCATTTCCATGTCTAGGACATACTATATATCCTTGATTTCACCATTACAGGAGCTTAAATTTAAAGTTTGCAACCAGAAATCTGGTTTTTTCTATCATATAGCCTTTTAGGTTCAGAAATAGCATAGGAATCATATCGTAGTTATTCAACATGCCCATATGCAGGCATTGCCAGTATCTTTGGCGTGAGCGACCCTATGGTTGAATTCAAGAATCATCACTTGCCTGTTGAGCTCAATTATAGAGGACTACAACCAAGTTCACAAGCAGTCAAATAATTCTGCCAACTTTTAATGGAGTCTTCTCATTTACAAGTTTTGCTATTTGGTCATTTCTATAATGATAGAGAAAGGCTCTTAAAAAGATATTTAGCCTTGTATAGGTAAAACTGCATATGTCAGATATTTCAGTTTCCTAGTTTTCTTTTCCATGGTGCATCTGAGGCCTCATGTTGCTAAACAATGAACCACAAAGCCTTCAAAATAGAAGTTAATAAAGTACAGTTTAAACAAAAGATAACAATGACATGTTTGCACAACATGTAGAAAAAACAAAAGAGTGTTTACTAGTGATGCCATGATTATAAGAAAAAACTCCCAAGTCAGCTCATTAATGACATGCCATGAAAACAAAATTATAGCAGACCAAAATTCAAGATAAGATACCTGCCACAAAACCAGAGAAGAAAAAGTTCACCCATGCAAATGTAAGTGTCTGAAAGAGAAACAGATGACCTTGATCAGAAAAATGATAGGAGATAGTAAGCTTTAGAAAGAAGCACAGACAAATAATTCAATGATATATAGTGCAATACCTGTGGTATGATCATTGAAAGGTTCTTCTTCATCATATCCATAGCTAAGTTTGGGTCTGAAAACATCTGAGCCTGTGCATTTTGAGCCTGGCCTTTGGGAACATGCAGTAAGCCATTCTCCTGCAGCACCAAATATTCTCACGAACCATGAACTATTGATGAACCTTTACTATCATTTCTACCATGAATCACCATACTAGGAGAGATGCCTTGTGTGTCCCAGACTCATTGCTAAAGAACAACCAACTTGATAAACTGAGATTTAACAAAATTATAAAATGTAGACATTGTTTCTCTGAAATGTCTTATCTGCTGTCAAGTACAGAAATACTTGAGCTCACGAGGAAACCTTTTGTAAAGTCTAATAAACGATTATTCATATCTAATGTGCAATAATATTAATACGTTACAAGAACGTTCTGAATTTTCTTGACATGATATTGTAGCAGTAAATTCGGAAATAAAACAAAATTCATGTTGGCTCGATAAACAACAAAAATGATAACATCTAACAACGAAAAAATAACCTAAAAAAATCAACAAGTTTCAATTTCTCGCTTCGATTTGCATAAATTCATGTATAGCACAAAGATAGAAGATGAAGCAAGGTCCAAGAAACGATCCTCTTCTTTTCCCTTCCAGTGAGCAACAAACCTCGTTGGTGTAATAAATCTTCCGGGCCCGAAAAGACTTGGCCGGGATGAATCCAGCTGCGGCTCTCAAGTTCCTCGCCCTCAGAATTACTTGCCTACGAAACCGATCAAGGGAAGCCAAATCAAGATTGAAATAACCAACTCTGGAGGGTACGATCGTGGCTACGATCGGAGTAGAAGCAGGATACAAACCCTTCCTTGACGACCTTGAGGTCGGGGGCCTGGTGGGACCGCATGAGCTTGGACACGAAGTAGCGGAGGACGCCGATCAACACCATCACCACCGACAGAGGCACGAGGACCCAATCCCTTATCGCTGTGTCCAGAACAAGATCCTCCGCCATGGCCGCCCCGCCGCACCACCTCCGAATCTAGATCCTCTCCCAAACTGTACGAGAACCGGAAGGATCCGACGAGCGCTATCCCTTGACTCCTCGGTACTTGGACGGAGGCGAGGGTTGGAATCCTCTCCAGCACAGAACGAAAGGTGGGAGATCCGAGCCGTCCATGGTTCCGGGCGCCTCCTTTAAGGGCACTAATCAAAGCGCGTGCAGGAATCTTGCAGTTCGGAACCGATCACAATTTGCACACATCTCAAAGGCAGAAATCACCATCCGGATCGATCACATCGAGGTTGACCAGTCTTGAAGAGGAATCGTTTGGAGAACCATCTCATCTCACAAAAATATTATCCTCATAATTTTATTTTATTAAAAAATTAGTATATTATAAATATAACCATTTTAACTAATTATAAGAAAAGAAGAAGAGGGTAAAAAAAAAAAAAAACTTGCAATGCATCCAAAACCTCACAAATCAGATGTTAAAGAAGACACACTTGGTAATTCAGAACAATATTCAAGAAAGTTAATATATGACAATGAAAGTCAACGATTGTATGATAAAAGAAAATTGTGTTGACAATTAAATACTCTTATCCCCACCATATGTTTCGCCTTTTGAGGTCAACGGGAAATTATCTTTGAGACTTGGCGATTAAATACTCTAAGCCATCATGATTTTAGCTTTCTGGACCTTAGAAAAGAAGATACATGTGAAGCATATATTGATTGCACATAGGCTTATGATCTCTTCTTTTAGTGACATCAACAACAAAATGTCATGGTAATTCAACCAGTTGGGCTGAGCCATATGCAACAATATTTACATCAAGATACAAAATTATTCAATTCAATAACTCACAAAGAATTCAATATAGAAGATCTAGTTAAACAAATAAAATAATTGACATGCTAATCGACACTAACACCAATCCTTTGCTTGGTTTCATACAAACACTTAGACTTGTGTAAAGCTGTGATTTTATTTCAATTAGTTCTAATCATATACTTTAGGCTCTTCAAAAAGTATAGATGTCTTTGCTACACATTTCAATTCAGGATGCACCATTTTTCTCCAATTCATCAAACATCAAGTAGCTGCTATCTATCAAACCTGGTTGTCTAGCATACAGTGCAAATACAAACTAGCAGATGTGAACTCTTAATTGAACTTTTACAATATAAGGGAAAGAACTTGAATAACATTGAAGAAAAGTTGGTTTCATATTTCCACAGGTTTGAGACCAGCAGCTTTATTCTACAGACACGAGCACTCCAGTGCTCTCTTTGAAGCTTCTAAACAATAAATTATTTTGTGTTTTGCAAATTAGCAATGGAAAGAGTTTCCCTTTGGAAAACAAATAACACAACAACGAGAAAAAGAAATGAGATGTAATAAGGGGGCTTTAAATGGCTGCCTGCCTCACATCACTTTCTTTTCCCCTGTCGCTGGCACGTACATGCCAAACCTTGAACGCCATGCAATCCTCCATGGCTACGGCTTCCCACTGCTCATGCAGCTTTCAATTGCTGAGGATGTTTAAAAGGGATTTTGATTAGACAGGTTATAATAATCTTACCTCAACTATAGTAAGAAAATTGATTGAATTGGGCAACACAAAAGGTCCTCCCTACATTCACCTAGTCAAGCCTTTGCAATTTAATCATCCAAGTATATGCCCGACCAGGCTCCAAGGAAAAAGAAGGAACACATCTTTTTTTATCACAATATAACAAATAACAAGGTTTTAGATACATACTCTTTTCTCCTCTTCCATCTTTGCCTTGATGTATGAGTAAAGGGCAACTCCTCCAATTGCTATGCAAGTTCCGATACCCGTTTGTGTCGAAATCTTATTGCCTGTCATAGATTGGAAAAGTTAAAGAGTGGCAAGAGCCTATATTAGAAATCTAAACCTGCAGTCATTGAGATATCACAATGAGAGATGACAACACATACCGAATATTATAATTGAGAAGCCAATCACAAACACACGTTTCAGAACATTCCCAACTGCATGTGTGAGAGGAGCAACTCGTTCCAAGGTGTTGGCTGCCAACTGTTGGATGCATAAACATTATAATGTCATTAATCTCTGTATGCATAATCATGATGCAATTAAAATTCTAATTTTGTTGTATCTTCCAAAACATTTAAAAGAATCTAATGGATGCATTCAAAATTTTATTAATCATTACATTCTAAAACTTAATTCAGCACACTGGAACAGGTGGTTCAACATATATCGTTCCAATAAAAGTACATTTTACTGGGAAACTTCAAAAATAGTGGCGGATGCTAGAGGGGACTGAAAGATGGCAGCAAGAACAAAAGCATAATGACCAAGAGACCTTGAAGCAGATAAAATGTGTTCACGATCTTATAGAGAAATGGACCAAATGGTCCAACCCTAATTAAAGTGTTCTGCTATAAAACTTGAAGCAGCATGATACCACCAAAGTCTCTTGTTTATTCAGCTTTGGCAATCTATTAAGATAAGCCAATCTTTTTATTTTCCTAATGCAAGGGCAAGGTGATTGACATTCAATCAAATAATTGAAATTTGAGAAAAAGGTTATTTCGAAACAATCAGCATTAGTGATGTGAGAACCATATTCGAAATCACACCATGGTATTCACAATCCATCCTGTCTGATGTGGGTTATCTTGGTCTAATAGATATTATTAGTTTAGAAGAGCATTCCAAATATAATTTCTTTTTTTAAATGAGAACATCTTTTACGTTCCCACTTTCTGTTGTTATATTGCTTACTATAGAAGAAAAGAAAGCTAAAGGACAAGCATGAAAAAAAAAACATCCTTGGTTGGAGATTCTAATAATAAGGGAGACAAATCTTGGATTTAATTAAGGATTCAAAGGCTTGATAGAATATTTCAGAAGTTTAGTCATCCTTAAAGAATTTATAAACAAACAGGCACATCAATTAAATCTATTATCAACAAGAAAAATTATTTGTCAGAACAAACATACAAATATATCTTCCTCAAAGGAGAAAAGATAAAATAATTGACGTATTTGAGTAAAGTTTGGAATTTATCCTCCAAATGTGTGACATCGTTGTCTGTACATGAGGCATGTATGATGCAATGCCTGGATCCTTAGATATACCCATAAAAAGTCTGGTTTTCTCACCTCTCCGTCTCACTTATATTTCAGCAGTGTTATCTCTCTTCCTCTCACTTTCCTTTCCTCTATTCTCAAATTAAATAAAAAAAAGAATTGTCTGCTCTTGATGTGCTCCTACATCAGATTGATATCACAGGGTATGTTCTACATCACCTCTTATTCACTTGGCTAAGAAAGTTGAAACCCCAAGTAGACCCATTACTGAAGGAAGAAATTCTAGGAACTGCTCTTTTACTAGTCCAGTGGATCCAAGCATATATATGTTTTCCAGTATCCTCCACACAAACTTAGTAGTCAATTAATATCTCAAACAGTTACCTGATTATAGAGGTGATAAAACATCCCCACCCAGAAAAGATCAGAGAGGAACTTTGTCATGCCTACTTTTGCAATTGCATCCTTGAAGCCATGTTGCATTAGTTGAGGACCCTCAAGCTGCAAGCTCCAAAATAGATTGATTGGTCAAGAGCAACATATAGGCATCAATAACATTCATTTTGTTAAATTAATTTTAAGCAAACAACAAACTAACAGCGAGCTTTCTGCTGCATAAAAGCAGATGCATATGCTTTAAAAACTGACTTGAGCTACTCAGGTATAATAAAATGTCCCGATTGATGCACTATGCTTGAGGTTGAATAACACAATCTACGATGGCCTTGTTTAATATATTATAAGCAGAAGGTGAGAAGGAGAATGTGTGTTGGATGTTTAGTGTCCTTGGCTGATAAGAAAGGACCCCACGCAAAATGTCTTCATATCTGTGCTGCTAATTCATTAAACGGTTCAATGCAACACATCACCCCAAGTTTATATGCTCTAAAAAGTTAAAGCATAGCATGCAAAACACATACATAGCGCAAAGTTCTTAGACAGAGGTTTCGAGTACCAGTCCATATGAAGTACTAGACAGTGGGATGGCAGGAATGGAAAAGAGTAAGAAAAAAGAAAAGCAGTAGGAGATTTACCATAACTCCTTTTCTAGTCCTCTACTTACCTTCTCCACAGCCACTTGGATGAACCGGAACTAAGGCTGGTGCACACAATCGAGTGTTTGGAGGCTTTCTAGAGGATCTTTTAGACCCAGTCTGAGTCTTAAATGACAGTCTAGGCCAGACTAAATCAATAAACAAGGCCAACCGTGTCACAACATAAGGCTAAGAGAATATCACCCATATAGTGGGTGGTACTGCCCTAATCCTGCCAGTAAACCAAGCAATATTGTCGGTAACCCCAAAAGCAGGAACTAACAGTATGGTCCTGATTGCCCATGGGTCAGAACAGTAAATTTCATGTGGACCGTACTGATCTAATCACTGCTAAGAAATATTGTCTCAATTAACATCATAATGAGCTAATCTAATACTATACGAATCAACAAAAAGAAAAACTGAATGACATACATCAGTTCTTGTCCTTTAGTTGAAGTGGCCAATCGAGATTGAAAGTCCATTTAGTCAAATTCAAGCTTTAGTTTGGACACAAATCCATTGCACTTGAGGAAATAAGTGGCTCAAATGTATGGTTAATATTCGCATAAGTCTCCAGCGAACCTAAATATAAAGAAGAAATTATAGATGCTGACAGTCTCTGCCACCAATAACCCAGTTGGACTCTGAGTTCGGCAAGCAATATATGATGGTTCAACAAAAAAAATAAAGTTAAAAGGGACAATTTTCTCTTTACAACAATCCGTGCAAAGTACTTACAAGAATTGCAGGAGGAATACAAACAAATAGAGCAATGATTGATATGTATGCATACACATTTGTGCTGTCCATGTCGGTCTGCAAAAAACAAATAGGTTTTTTGTAAGTGAATGGGACAAATAGGAGAACAAATATAAGGGTGAAGCGTGAGCTGGACCATGGCTTTCTTGGAATAGATGCTCCTGTATGTGAAGGAGATGTTTGAGATCATGGCACTAATGAAGCCAGTCCAATTGAATGATAGTTCCGTGAGGGATGCCATTGAGACACCTGAAATTCACAATATTTACCATATAATGTACTGATAAATA